ATGCTGCCTGTCTAGGTTATTTAGCCCAATTGGGATCAGAAATGGAGCTCATGCAGGCTCAATCCTGCTCAAGTATTAGCATTGAGGGTTGAAGCTGGCTTTGGGCAAGCAATGTGATTCAACCTGGGGCCACGTTATCAGCCATTTCCGTGTTTTTCCTACCGGATTTAAAGTCATGAATATGAATAAACTAAAATAACAACAACAACAACACCCACATGGATTTCTAAAACTGCTGTATTGAAAATAAAATCTTTGGCTTAAAGAAGGATTTGAGAACAATTTAGAAGACTTAGTCCGGGTACTTGGGCAGAAATAACTGAATTGGGTCATTTGTTGATTCTCAAGATGCTATCATACCAGCTCAAGTGTAGTAAATGCACCTTTGATCCTTTTGATCATTCAAAAAGTTCTTGTTTTTCATTTGTCTTCTTACATTGATTGATTTCTAAATTACAGCCAACTCAGACTTGCACTAGTCATTTTGGCTATCAACTAAATCCATAGTTAATGGCAGCGGGTATTTGTTCTTTACAGTCAGATCGTTAAGCTTCCTATAGTTGAAGCAAGGACATAAGTTGCCATCCTTCTTCCCTGTGAAGAGTACAGGGGCAGCCCATGGAGACATAGTGCGACAGATTGTGCCATTTTCCAGTCCAGTGGTGATCATCTCGTCTAGAACAGCATTTTCAGCTGGTGACAGAGGGATTATTCGACTCGCCTGTGGTTGAGCTCCGGGGATCAAGTCAACTTGGAAATCGTATTGTTGTCTAGGGGGTAGTCTCTGTGTGTTCAATTTCTTGAACACATGTAAGTGTCGGTGGTAGTAGGATGGGACCATCTCCTCAAGGGTTTTCACCGGTGCTGATTTCTTTTCGTTGGCTGCTAGTCGTGCTGATGTGGACCAAGATGTCTTTGCGGCGTTGATGTGTGGATTCAAGCTATTCAAAGGGTAACAAGGCTTGCTAGCTGTACAAAAGGTATTACAAAATGGAACGGTGGCACACTCACATTGCGGGGGCAGTAAAATGTCTGGTAAGATGTTAGCCCCCTCGTCACTTTTCCTTGCGTGCCCCTTGGGCTCCAACTTGGGATCTTCAGGGTTTTGGGTCGGATTGGACGAGACCGTGATCACAGTTGCAATGTCTGTATTGTCTACAGTGACTGGCTCGGCTTCGGATGGTTGTTGTTGAACAATAATGTCTTCTAGTCCTGGTTCTGATACATTAGTGGGAGAAAGATGGTTGTCATCTGATACAACATGGGTATTATGGTCTGTGAGGTCGAACTCACATTGCAGGGATGTTAACGTGTCAGGATTGACACACATCCCCTTGTAACTGCTCCTAGCGTCCCCCGTAGGGTCCAATAAATGGCCATCCAAGGGTTCGGTCGGGCAATACAAAGCTGTTGACATAGCTGCAATGCGTTTGGCAGCACAGGACACTGTGCCCTGCTGCCAGTCAATGAGGTCAGAATTGGTCTTGATCCACGGCATTCCCAGGATGCCGTTGTAGGAGTCTTTGAGTTGAGTGATGATGAAAGGTGTAATTGTTGTGTCGGAGTTGATAAAGAGTTTTGTTTTGAAAGAAGATTGGCTCTTGGATCTGTCAAACCTGGTTATTGCTTGAATGTAAGGATCTGTGTTCTCAATCAGGCCAGTCTTATTGGCAAAGGACTCACTCAGCACGTCATGTGTGGCTCCAGAGTCAATGAGAAAATTGGCCAAATAGACGTGAGTAGTTGTGGCTCGGGGGTTTTGGGATTTGGACAAATAGGTGCGTAAAAATATACATGGATTGTCTGAATTGCATGATAACATTCTACTAGAACCCACACTAATGTCTGATGAATCCCCCAGTTGGCTCAGGAATGGCACAACCGTCATTCCTGAGCTCCTCCATTTTTTGACGTCTCAGCACGACCAACTACTTCTACATTACTGCTTCTATGACTCTCTCCTCCACTACTCAACGCTGCCAATTTAACTTCTAATTCAGCTATTTTGGAATGATATCCACCTCTTCCTTTCCCTGTCCAAAAAGTCTTACGGTCAGGACAAGCCGCCAATATGTGACCATGACTGTTACAACAAAAGCATAACCCAGCTCGCATATGTCTCGCCCGTTTGTCCTCTGATAACCGGACGTAAGCAGCTGATAGATCCATGGCATTAGGGTCTGTTGCAACGGTGTGGGTATGTGGAGTAGCGGCTGAGGGGTTGGAAGCGCCATGTAGCTTGCTGTCAATCTTGATGGCTAAGTTCACAATTTGCTCAATGGTCGTAAATTGTTCTTGTGACATGACCATCACCACTCAAATTTCTTTCTTCAGTCCATGTTCATATTGACTGATCAAGGTTGAAGTTTCCCATCCTGTGGCTGTTGCGTGAATATTAAACTCATGTGTATAAGCTGCTACACTAGTTTTTTGCAACAGGTTTCGAATAGCCCGTTCAGCTTTTGCCTTCTTCTCCGTGTCAAAATACATGGCTTTAAAGTTTGTGACAAACCAATCAAAGGTGACTTGGTGGGCCGTGGGTTGATCAAAGAGTTCCATTGTGAGGGGCTGTGCCCAACTGCTAGCTGCTCCTGTGAGGTAGGACAGAGCAAACACCACCTTGCTTCTATCATCTGGGAATAGATAGGGGTGTGCCAACATATATAATTGGACTTGGCTAGCAAAAATTTTGACGGTTTCTGCTCAAACGCCACTAAACTTGTTGGGCGTCGATACTTTAGGTCCCTTAGGGACTGGTGTAGTAGCTAACGGGACAGCCGGAGTGTGCACAGCTGTGTTGCCGGTAGGCAGAGCGGTTGTTCTTTGGGATTCCAGTGCTGCAAGGCGAGCTTTGGACTGCTGGTATCTAGCTTCAGCCTGCCCTCGCATCAATCTTTCTTCCGCAAGGGAAGAGACGAGTTCTGCCAATTGGCGTTGGATGTCTTCAATTGAAGTCATTTTGGCTTTGGTATTGCTTAGTCCGGCGTTGGAAGAGGAAGAACCAGCGTCAAAGAATGGAACAGCTGTATCGTTGTCAGAATCCTCCTCTTTGAGTGGGGTACGGTATGTAGGAGACGTGGTGGCAATAAGGTTTGGTTCGGTATTGAGTTTCTTAAGGTTTCAGTTAATGGGAGATCTTGAATATCGCGGTTTAAGCGGTGATGTCTGATCTACACTACGGGTCAACGGTTGACAGCTCAGGATGTCCGATTTTCATCCTCCCCAAGGACATTGCGCAGATGACTGCAAGAGATCCTTGTGATGTCCTTTGGGTTCTTGCTGTCAACAATTTGAGTCCAGTTGACACCCAAGAGGGAACCCTGAGACAAGTCCCACAGCTTGCTCAGGCCTTGACAGGGGTCCAAGATTGGAAGAAAGTTGTGTTGAAGGACTTCCCATAAAAGAGGAACTTGTGAGTTTGGTCTTGCTTCTTCCTCTTTCTCCCCCCTTCACAAATTTCAAACTTGATCATTTTTCCTCCTTCATACTACACATATCCTCATCCACCTTTGCTGTTTGGCATCGTTTGGCTTCATTTTATAGCCATGCTTGTTGCTTTATGTTCTTTTACAAATTTGTCCCCTTCATCTCACCATCCAATTCACAAGTTGATCCAATACTTCTAAGCAGGTCTCTTTGTTTGTCCTTTTATATTTACAATCCCATGTTATACCAGTTTCAACTTTTGACAGATTTCTTTTTTTGTTATTGTTATTGTTTTTGTTTTGTTTCTACTCCATACATCCATCTAGATTGATCATGAGTCATTTTTTTTGTTATTCTTTTTTGATGATCCCGTGAATGAAATAACAAATTTGTTAATTTTCTTCTCGCTCGCTCAATACATATGTAATTCACCACTGGTCAAATGACCCCTTGCCCCAAATCAAGAATTACAACGGTTGCACTGGGCTACCGGAGGTCTTACTGGCCTGCGGTTCCTGCACCCAGACCCTATTGAATGCATTTCTGCAATTCAATCAGGTCTCTCAGCGTCGCGCAGAACCTAAAGCAAGGATATTGTGCCAATGTCCTCGCTCTCATCCGCGCGACCTCCTCTGTGAGGATAATCAGCGGAGATCAGCCGGATCTCCGTTGGATGTCGCGAGACAGGACATCCGACGGATGTCCTGATTGGACCGTAGTGTAATTGTTCCGGTGAGTTCTGATTCCTGCTAAATCTAAATCTTCTATTCAAGTTCGAGTCCGTGATCTACAGCCGTTCCAACAATTAACGGCAGAAATCTTTGATCGTGTGTCGCTCTTGAGGTTAAATCTAGAGAGGTCAAAACTGGATTAAACCCAGTTTTGCACGCAAATGAACAAGGAGGCCTGGGAGACCTGTCACTTTGAGCCGGTTTTAACTAGTTTTTGACTTTTAGATTAAATTCGGATGCAACACACCGATGAAGATTTCTGCCGTTAATTGTTGGAACGGCTGTAATCTGATGTAATAACAAAGTTTGTATCAGCGTTTGAGATCTGAGATCTGGGTTTTCTTAAAATAATCTATTGAGTTTCTGGGTAATTAATATCGAATGCTCGAATCCCGTTTAATGGATCCGACAATATGTTAAGGGCGTCTCTGTGGGGTTCTGGTGATGGGATTGGAGGTCTCAATCTGTAGTTCTTATCAGGTGATCTGGATTCCCTATAGTGATTGTCGGATGAAGGAAAAGAGAAAAGACAACGTGGCACGGGCTACAACTGGTTATCTCCATCTGTGACATGTGATCTGTAAGTGTCACGAGTTCAGTTCATAACATACTTCTTTGTATTCAAATTTTCAAACTTGGGTTGCTTCATACAACTAACTAAATCTAATCTAAATTGTTGTACTCACACAAAAAACACTAATGAGACAAACAGAAATCTGTCCCAAATTCTTAACTCACTTATGATCACATACATACACACACATATATATCTACTCAACCCTGATTAAAAGAAGTTTAAAAGAAAATTGTAAACATAAACACACCTTTTGGGATATAAAAAAATCACACAACAACCCAAAATAATAGTTGATTTCTGCAATGAAACCCAAGCAGAGTCTTCCAATGTGTACTACTTGAGATTTTGATGGCTTGTGCTTCATCTAATATCATGTATTGCCATTTCAAGGTTTGGAAATATTTTTCATCTTGTACCACCTGTTTGTTTATCAATGAGATCATACATTAAGCGACTTCTACGGCAGAAGGTATAATGATAAACAGACTCACCAATTGATAACTGGTGATGACCACATGAAACGGGGCCTCCCCATCATACCGTAAATGTTTCCAATTCCAAAACTTTCGCAAAATCGCTCGGTCCTGGACGCTACCCCAATAAAGCAGTGCTTTCAACGCCGAAACGAACCTTGTGATTGCTTGCTGCCAATTATGTAGGGTAGAAGCCAAAGCAATGACTAGAAAAGGTCCCCAAATGTTATGCACTTCGGCCAGATACGCCCTCAATGAGATAAATTGCAACGTCTGTGAAATTGTACACAGATATTGATAAGTATAGATCAAGATAGATTGTCACCTAGAATAAGTCACATACCTTTCTGGGTCCCATCTCGTCTGCAAGGATACCGTTGATACCTTGTTCATGCAGATTTGCCAGCCAATTCAAACCCTTCAGCTGATATTCTTTGAGCTCTGCCATAAGCATCTTGGGTTGTTTGACTTGTATATCACCAGCCATGGTAGGATTCTGGGAGTTGAGGTCAACTTGATCAACTAAATGACATAAGCAGACAAACGATTTGAAGTCAGGTAAAGAACTCTATAGACCAACATAACGATAATTGACTTGTGAGCTACGTACTATCAATTCCTGTGACCATTTTGTTCCCTTCTTTACCGGCGGGAGTAGCAGTATCGGCGGTAGCAGTATTGGGGGCAACGGCATCGGGTGTAGTGGCTGCAAGCTGTTGGGCAGCCGCGGTATCAAAGGCCTGAGCCCGTTGCTTGGCAGCATCTACTGCCAATCGCGCGTTGCGCGCTGCATGCGCATGTAGATTGGAGTCGACATCTACAAAAATTGACAAGATTGGATGACACAAATCTCGGTGTTCGAGTATGTAGATGTGATATATCATGTAGATGGGAATACTTACCATCATCAAAATTGAGAGCTGCCAAATCAGCATCTGCGCCGCCATTCGCCAAGTCATCGAGCAGTTGAACAGTGGCTCCTGTACTTGTGGCCACAGTTACAGGACCAGGTTGATCACCAGCAATGGGGGCAGCGCCACCGGTCTCTTTGCTTTCTTCTGCTTCTTTCGCTATTCAGTTACATATGAATGTAAAATTGATGGCAAGACTATCAGTGACCAACGCATACATGTGACAAATATTGAGACAAGAAAAAATCTCACTTTTGATTTTGTTGCCCACAGAGGAAGTTGAGTTTTCGAGCCTGACGTTTGACTTTGCGCACTTCGTCATCTTTCTTAGCTCGCTCGACTGCCTCCTTATCCGCTTTCCTCTTAGTTTCCTGCCACGCTTCTCATTCCCACGGTAATAGACCAGTAACTTTTGAACAAAAAAACACAGAGTAAGATCAACAAGTGTGGAAAGGTGTGGAAGGACATAGAAACGTGACATATCATATGATTAGTATACTTACCTCTCTCATCAATCTACTGGCCTTTATTTGCAGTTCCTCGGATGCTTTTGTTTGGGTGATTATCCGTCTTCCCTCGCGACTAACTAAGGCACACAACCGTTTGACGTACATCAATCGACTCTAGCTAGCTGCCTGTTGTATTTTACTGACTCGAGGGATACCTTTTTGAGGGATCTGAAGCCATACGTGTCTAGAATTTTCTTCGATCGCTTCCCTGCGTTTATTGGCTAACACTTTAGGATTGGCCAGTGCACGTTCACGGACAGGTAAGCTATAGTCCATTTGATCTAAGAAGGACTCATAAGGTTCTGTTCCTTAAGGTAGATCGTGACCCCACGCTGGAAGAGTTCTTTTTTCAATCCTCCGCGTCGCTGGATCAACGAGAGGCTCGGTAGGTATGTTCGATTCAGCAATAACTACATGAGAGGGGAGATGTGCTTCGAGGCCTTCAGGAGCAAAGATTGGATCATTGGCATGCCATGCAGTTCTAGATGAGGAGGAGGATGGCCTAGGCTGGTGATAGACTTCTGACCCGGCAAGGCGTACTCGGCTCGAGGGTGATGCGTGGTTCAATCTGGTACTAGCTATAGCACCTGGGCCAAAGGGATGATGGAGAGGAGCCGCGAAACCAGCTGGAAAAGGTACTGATTGACCTGAAGCTGAATGAGGTACTATGTAATGGGCATATAGAGGTGGAGTGTCGGTCAGATGTGCAAGTTGACGTGAAGGGGGGGGTAAGATGAAGATTCACTCGGGGTTGGTGAATCAGTGACTGAGTCAATAGCCTTCCATTTCCGTTTTCCCGTCGATCCAGCGACTGGACAAGGAATCTCAAGGAATGGGTTGTGAGGTACTTCGATCGATGGAAGGTGGTATTTGGCTAAGCTTAACTAAGCCCCTCTCGCGCGGCTGCGTCCGCGCCCCTCGAAGAGGGGCTTACAACGGACTCGTACTTTTCGGCAGGAGAGCTCCAAGAATTAAGTCCCTTTATGTTGTTTTTTGGACTTCTCCTCAAATCCTCACCGTAGAAATTTGTGAGCTGCTGGTATGTTTTTCTTCATGCCTTTGTACATTTGCTGGCACAAGTTTCATGAGAAACAGATAGCTCTGCATGCTTTGAGAGCTGTGTCAAGAATGGGCCTTACAAGGCCTTACGTCCTCTTGTAATGGCCTAAGCCTTCTTCATATGCCTTGGATACGAAATTTGAAAGCACTTAAGAACACATATTACCAAATCTTCATCGCATATTTATAACACTTCCCCTCAAGGTGAGACAAACTATGAGGTACCAGATCATGTACAAAAGTGTGAAGAACAACATACGAGAAACGTGAGAAATTCTACGGTGAGGGCTCGAGGAGAAGTCCAAAAAACTACTTAAGGCACCTTAATTCTTGGAGCTCTCCTGCCAAAAAGTACGAGTCCGTTGTAAGCCCCTCTTCGAGGGGCGCGGACGCAGCCGCGCGAGAGGGGCTTAGTTAAGCTTAGTATTTGGCCCTGTTGGGGCACTAGAGGTGGTCAGCCACCTGGGGGCCCATTTCTTGGGCTTGTTTTGAACGACCAAATCCATGATACAATACGGGGTGTGAGATTTTTCCGGACACTCGTTTCTGAAGGATAATGTTTGGAAAATGCATTGTTTGGAAAATCCATTGTTTGGAAAATGCATAGTTTGGAAAAGTCCACTTTTGCTCGCAATACGCGCTGTACGTGTAGGTGCGCAAGTCACATGATTCTGAATTTCCTCTGAACCAAAATCAAAAATCCCTGGGGAAATTGGTCTCTTTGTGTAGTGAAAGGAAAAAATGCATACTGTCACCTTCACATTCATACACTCCGGTACTCCATGATCACTTGGAGCTGGCAGGAAATCAATCTTATTTTGACCTGAGTGTTTCATGGTACATGAGTAGATACACTCAAAGTCAAAATGGGATGTGACTGTCCTTCAGAATAAGTATATTTCAAAAAATCAGAATTTCTATGTAAAAACTAAGTAGGCAGATGACAAGCTGAGCACAGTTTTACTCCCCCAAAGTTATCTGTAATTGCATGTGTCATTAATGAGATCATTGATGTCCAAGAGGTCAACCTGTGTACAAGGGATCCATAGGACAAGTGAGAAGAAAACCACCAAAGTTTTGGCACAGGATCAGAATGAACTTCTGCACACTGATTGACAAGAAATAACTCATCAACTTTGGTAGTTTGATGCATTTGTCAAGATGGAGCCATAGGAAGTAATTTACCTTGAATTCGCATGATACCAGCATTCCCCCTTCCCTGGTTAGCTGGACCATGTACAGGGAGAAAGACACAAGAAAATCAAATCATCTTTTAATTCTTTTCTTTGTTAATGTAATTATTGATCAGGGATGGCTTCACATAACTCATTTCTGTACATACCCCCAATATTGAGCAGCCTTCCTTCAAAATGAGGAGAAGAGAAGTCACCTGATAGGCTCACAAAGCACACAGTCCTTTCTTCCAAAAGTGGATTTCAACTGATCATGGCATTCATATTGATTTGCTTGGTGGGTCAAAAGCCGCAAGCTTTGTGAACGGAGATAAGACGGCTCATTGGGTACCCAAAGCTTGATGGCAAATTCTTCTGATAGACATTGCTTGGTTTAACAACAAAGATAGATACACAGATTGGTGGAGACTGAGTCCACTTGCTGACAAGTGGAATCCCAATTACGTACAATAAGTCTTCTAGTTATACAGCTTGTGTATACAGCACTTACTTAGGCCACCCAACACCAAGCATATGTACTTAACATTGGGCTTGCCCTAGTACTACCCACCCAGTTCTCTTCATGTGTCATAAGTGCATATCAGGCCATCCCAACGTGCTGAGCACTTCAGAGTTCACTCACCATCATAAATGTTTACACCCACCTCGTGATCACTTTGCAATCCAACAATCCTATTTTCTCATACATTCACAAGGCATCAATGAGATGGGCAAAAGGGTGGAAAGTATTTAATTATTGGTAAGTCAATTCATCTTACCTTGAGATTCAAAATCAAAGTTTGAATTTCAGATTTTGCAGATTTTTGATGACTTGTCTACTCAATTCACTTGGCAACCAGTCAGCATACTTGAAGATCAAACAGGAAAAACGTCAGAAGATGTTAGCAGCTTATTCAACAAGCCCTCCACATCAAACCCAACCTACAAACATCACCTACCCTGCGCTTCCCGAAGTCAATCTCAATCACACTTTTTGGAATGACATTCTCTTCACAAGTGGTGGCAAACCTTGGGTGATTGGCGTTGACAATCAGTATCAAATGCTTCAGATCTCCAACTTTGATGGAGCATGTGAGAAAGTCTTCCAAATAGGACGGGAAGTATGGAGGGTTGTGAGGTGATCATCAAAAGCACAGATAGTGTTCTTTCATCATTTACATTGACTTTGAGTGCACAACAACAAAAAATTGGCAGTTCACATTGGCCATTCTTTGGTGAAGTATTCAACCTTCAGTTCACTCAGTAGAGTAGGTAAGGTTTCAGTAGCACCAGTAATCAGTACTGAAAATCTAGTACATGTATCAAATCTGGGATGTGGGTCTTGGAGAGGTTTCTAAACACGCCACCCCAAGATGGCAATTTTGAGCTGAAAACCAACTGGAGCAGTAAAATCATTGAACTCGGGTGTTGTGGTCTTTGGGGTGGATATGCAGATGGAGAATCAAGAATATGATGGACTCTGTTGATTTATTTCTTTAATTGATTATGTTTCTTTGAATACTGAAAAGGATGTTAATGGATCTCCACATGATGGAGAGATCGATAGGAAATAGGAAGACATCAATGAATTGGTGTATATTGTGAAGTGAGTGGGGGAAATGCCCAAATGGTACTTTAAGCTCTTTTAGCTTTGACTTTGTCAAAGCTTAAAGGCTGGTAGTCTTTGAAACTACACTTTAAGATTTCATGTTGTTTATTTATAGGTAATCATCAATATTATTTATTTTATCTTCAACTTGTGTAGATGATGTTAAAGTGAAGCTCTTTTTACTTTGACTTTGTCAACACTTGAGGGCTGACATTTTCTCACATGTGTTACAGGATTGTTTCAATAAAATGTTCAGAAAGCTATGATATTAATAGAAAAAATGAGCCCACACTGCAGGTGTTTGCACAATAATTGAGAGATATATTAAAAATCACATTCATTTTACTCACAGAGTGACACAAGGAGTGGTGTGCTACTCACACAACATGTGCTCAAGTAAAATGGATGGAATTTTTGATATTTTTTCAATTGTTGTCCAAAATGCTTCCTATGAGATGTGTGAGAAGACATATAATCACGTTTTTATATCCTGTTGTGCACATTTTCCCCGTTTGGACCCACAAGGATATGTTCCTTTTAATTTTCCCAAATCATATCCAAAAGACTTGAGTATGGGCTCATTTTCCCGCCATTATTGTCACTCTGGTAATTATACTACCCAAAGTTGTTCTGGGACTGTTCCACGAAAGTTCCAGAACATATTTTCCACAAAGCCAGCAAGGCAGTATATGTTCTGGCTTTCTGGACTTTGATCAAATCTCCACATTCCCAATTCAACTCCATCATCCATCATCACAACATGCCTGACAAAATTTCCTCATCATGTAACCTTTCAAGTACCTCAACAACGTCTCAACACAAAATACAACAGCCGGTCTTGACCCCTTCAACTTTCCAAATCCTCAACAACAATATTCAAAAACTCATTCCAACTTCTGTACTTCATTTAAGTGCAAGTCTTAGATTTGTCTGAAGAAACTCAGATCACCCAATGTTAATCAAACATCATTTGAATGTAATTGATTAGGGGCTCTCAAACCTGACCCGGTTTCAAAAAACCCAGTTGACCCAGTGACTTTTGGCTGGAGCTGTCAATAATTC